GTAATTTTAAAGAATAAAGTATTAGAATAGTAGAGCAGGGCTAGTTAACTTTTTGCATGTCCATCTTTAATCTAATATTAGAGATACTTAACTTTGAGAGGAATGTCTGACATGTATGAAAGGGTTATATTCAAAACATGACCCAATATTTATCTCTGTTGATATCAGAAATCAGTTTATTTACAATTTCCTTCAACTGTGGGCATCTGCAAACATTTTCTATCTTAAAAAAATTTAGAACAAGCAACTAACAGAAAAATAAGATTGCTGAATTGTAGATCTTGGAGTCACCCAAGACACATGTACTTTGTAAAGAGACCATGGGACATGGAATTTAACAATCTTCATTGTCAGGGAACTTCCTAAACTTCTGTGTGACTGCCTCATGCATCACTTAAAACTCATTTCCTCTCATTGAACAGGCAGGACAGCTGGCCAGGCTTCCATCTGCACTGTCCTCAGTCCTCTCTGTGTTACGGAACACCCTTCTGAAATGGGAGAAGGCCAATTTGAAACAAAAGTAAAAACTCAAACCCACCCCCCCCAAAAACCAACCAACAAAAAAACAACAACCCTGTGGGAAATAGTATTTTAAACTGAACTTTCAATGGGCCCATAGATTAGGTCAGGGAATGGGCCAAAATACTGAAGCACTGTCCCTTGAATAATTCAGGTTAATTCTTAAATAGTATTAACGGGGTCATAAAACACCAGGCTTGGAAATTAAAGATGTTTATGTCTCATCAAAAAGTCTTTGACTGTAACTCTCTGGCATGCTGCCAAAAGGGCAGCTCTTTGGGGGAAAACCCTATGCCAAAGGCCAAAGAGGCAGCTGTGTTATTCAGCTCCTGAGAGCTTCCAACTCAACACCCACACAAGCTCAATTATGAGCAAATTAAAGGGATCCAGACTGAACACAGTAATTCTGGTAATTCAAATAAATAGAGGAAAGTCTACAATTAGTAGGAAAAGATTGATTTTCTGGAAAACCCAGAAAATGACACCCTAACCCCTTTGCATAAGCACAGTTACATCCAATTATTTAAAAATAAATTTCCTTTTATTCATTTTAATAATTTCTGTTCTGTCTTAAAGGTGGCCACATGCATGCCAGCAGAAGTATTCACAAAATATTGAGGCAGAATGGCCTCAAAAAAAATCTATAATGGATATATAGGAATTAATGAGATTGAGTAAAATGGTAATCAAAGTTTTATACCTACTTTTAGAGCACACAGATAATGCACTGTTCATTTCTACCTTTTCTGAGTACAGAGAAAAATTTCAAGTCATTCAGAAAGAACGAAGTTTGACTATTGTGGGATCTATTACTATAACTCATTATATTAATAACGAACAAAATACACATGGTCATTCTGTATAGATCCTTAAAACTCACTTAATAGTATTCAACATCTGATTAATCTGACTGAGTGAACTTTTTTAAGAAGGTAGGAGTACACGGACATTTATGTAACGTGATATAAACATTTCTTCTATCAAGAACCATCAGTGAAGTCATAATTAATGCACACACACAGTGGAAGCATTCTTGTTTAATCTTTAAATTCATTTTGTTGAGCTGATCTAAAGTTCATGTGGAAGAGTAAATGTATATGAAGAGCCAAAGTGATTTTACAAAAGAAGAAAAATCAGAGGAAGTTTTTCCTGTAAGTTATCAAAATAGAGTGTAATAGCATATTGATAATATAAACAAGGTGACATTGGCATGGAAGAGACAAATATGTCAACAGAATATGTCTAGAAACTGACCAATGTATGTAAGGAAACTTAATATTCAATGTTAATGTATTCTACTTTAATGGGGAAAGGATGTAAAAGTCAATAAATGTTCTTAATAATTTGCCTATTGTTATGAATAAACATTTTTCCACCTTACACACCATGGATAAATATATTACAGATTGGTAAATATTAAAAAAAAAGCTTTCAAAAGTACTAGAAGAAAATAATGTGATAAGTATAAAACCCAGAAGTCATAAAGGAAAAGATGGAAACTTTTTTATTACGAGACTAAAGATTTCTTCATAGTAAAGGATATCATAATCAAACTAAGATGACAAATAATGGATTGAAAGATGCAACATACATAACAAAATTCTTTTTAAAAAAAGATTATTTATTTGAGAGAGAGAGAGAGAGCACATGTACTCGAGAGTCGGGGGGGGCAGAGGAAGAGAATCCTCAAGCCGACTCCCTACTGAGTGGGGAGCTTGACATGGGGCTCGATCTCATAATCCATGAGATCATGACCTGAGCCAAAACCAAGAGGTGGACGCTTAACTGACTGAGCAACCCAGGTGACCCCATAACAACATTCTAAAGACAAAAAGAATTAAGAAATGGAAACATTTTTGGCAAAGGATATAAATTAGCAAATCATAGAATGTGAAATACAAATGGATCCCCTGAAAAAACAAAAACAAAAACAAAAAATACCCTAAACTCTCAATCCTAAATTCAGTCAAAAGGGGAAAAGCAAATTGTAAATCCAGATTCATTCACATAAAATTGTACAACTATTATAAAGAAACACAATATGTGATATAGATATATGTACATAGATGGTGCAGCAAATAAAGTGCTATGTATGTACACATAGCAAACTATTTTTAAATCATGTTTCTATCTGGGGATAAGAATACTTTTTTCTCACAAGAGCTGCCTATTTTTTGAAATATAAGTGAAATTAAGTAAATGGAACTCACCTTTAAAATAATTTGAACATAATATGCAAGTTAAAATGCTAGCCTAGACTCAGCAACAAAAATGAAACAAAAACAAAGGTCCTAATTGGGACCGTGAGCCTTCAAAGATTCCTGTAGACTTTGGAAAGGAGAACTATCCAACATAAAGGACTAGATAAATAAAAGGTTTTATCTTTTTAAGTTTTGAACCATATGAAACTGCTAGTTTTCCAGGTCCAAAAATAGTCAAAAGCACTGATTTGATATTCAGCCTAAATACCTTAGGACGGATGGCTGGATGACTGATTTTTCACTTTTTGAAGACTGGATCTTGACCCTGCTACCCTTATAAGCATAGCCACCACCCTTTTTGGTAAATATAATAATCCCTTAGGTTGCCCACTGCTACTTATAGAAAATGAAATGACTTAACAATAATCTTTTCACCTAACCAAACAGGAAAGACACTTCCAAATGTTTACCATCTGGTATCATCTGAGCTTATGCGCTAAGAAAATCAACATGTTTATTGAGCTCCCTCAATTGTTTTGGGGACAGGGGTTCAGAATGGCTCTAGAATGCTGAACTCTGCAAGACTGTTAGCTTTAAACTGGCATTTCCTGGAAGAGACCAAACTTTGATGGTGTATAAAATATTTGTATACCATATTTTACCACTTCTGCTGTATGGTGCGTTGAAGCCACAGCTTCGGCACCTGTGTCCTGAAAACAGCTCGGGACCTCTACCCAATGAGGCAAACTGAACAAACATTACTACTGTCGTTTATGGTATAAGTCCAATAGAATGCAATGAGTGACTTTTGGCTATACATATTTTGGAAGGGCTGTTTCAATGTAAAAATAGAAAACTTCTCAAAAACAAAAAAAATGTAAACAGAAATACTGTTTCTGGATACACCTTAGGCTTTATTTTTACAGATTTGATAATAGTTTTTCTTTCTTAAAATGGGCGCCATTTTTTTTCTTTTGCAGAGAGTTTTTGGGAACTTTTTGTTTTAATTAAATGAGGAAAATAGTAATATATTCTTGCCCCAAATTAAGAGAGATTTTTATCTATTCGTTTTCTTCATAGAGTAATTGGGAAGACAGAACAAAAGATGTTTATCAAGCACTTTATAAAAATCAATTGCTCCTCAAATTATTAGTAATAACCTTGGTCACTGTCACACCTGATTCCTTTGGTTTGTCAAAGGTTCATGCTGGAGAAAATCCCCTTTTCTGACCAGGGCTCAGCTTTTCTATCCCTCTCTTGCTATAGGTGATCAGAGCAAATGTATCCTAGTGATCTAGTTAATTTGTAGAAAATAGAATCAATTTCTCTTGTTTCATCATGACTGAACATTTTTCTGAACTCCTGTAAATGAGTAAGAGATAAGCTCTATTTATCAGATTGTTCTGTGGAGCACATGGTTTTGATTATTCTATATTCTTGTTGCTAACTAATGAAAAATGCAATACGTCTCAAGAGAAAACATTTGCAAAGCACGGCCTGTGAACACCCAGCAGCAATGAATGTTTGCTGGGGATTTATTTTGCACTTGCACCCTTCTCTCATAGTCCTCTCTCTCCAACAGCCCGTGAGAGCACAGCAATGCACTTGGGCGTCTGAAATGTCTTCTGGGGCCCCACATCCTAGGACCTGGAGAACATCGTTTCCAGGGGGCCCTCGTTCTGCACTAGCAGCCAAGAGTCACCCTGAAATTCCCTGCGGAGCTCAGAACCTCAGTGAGGTTCTTCAGGCATGGACCCAGGGTACCTCGACAGCCTCCATCTGGCAAACTCAAGGAACCCTTTCCCCTCCAGTGTTAACAGGATCTGAAGATGGGCATTTCAAGAGATAAATCTTCCCTACCGCTGCCATCCCTGTCCACTGCACATAGAGATAGGAAACCCCGCGGAAGAGGATTCCTTTAACCCTATTATCTTCCCGGGCCCCGCAGCGGGTATGTTCGTGAGAACGGCAAAGTCACTGAGAGAAGTGAGAGTGCAAATACAAAGGCAGGTGAGTCACTGATGCTGACGGCATCCAGATCATCCGGAAGGAATGATTGTCTTTTTCTGGCCAATATGGACCGCCTTATAAAAATGTCATTCACCTCTCTTTTAAAAAAGGGTAATTACAATTAAATGTGTGAGACCAATATCCCCTCCTCCAGGCTGGGGCCGACTTCGCCCCCTTAGGTTGGAGCTGAGGAAACAAAGGGAGGACATTCAGGAAGATAGATGGGCTTAGGCTGGTGCGCTGACCTGGATGTCACTCACCCCCACTTACCAAGGTCCATGCTCTTGGAGGCTTTCAGATTCATCGATTCAGGCTGCCTGGCCGGTGTCACAGATCTGAAGTGGATGTGCTGATCTGGAAAATACACTGCCGAATCCACCTCAGAGCTGTGGAAAGAAGCCATATGCCGTATTTAGATTCAGAATTAAAAAAAAAAAAATTCTTTTTTTCTTTTGGTAAAGGAAGCAGTTCTCATTTTGAACCCAGCCCCACCTCATATCCTCTCCAGCTCCCAACCATGTATTTTCAACTGATCCTGGAATCTCGGGTAGCTTTTATGAGACGTAGCAACTCTATTTTTATGTATTTTATCACACTCCACAATTTAAATAAAATATTCTCTGGCTAATGTCATGTTTTCCTCTTCACTGATTTCTGCTAACTGGGATCCTGCTGTACAATGTATAACTGCAAATGGGAAAGCCAGGCCTGGAAGGAACCAGAGGAGGCTGGCAGGTATTCACGGAGCCTAGACGCAGGGTTAAGAGATCTCTGAAGGCTAAGCATGGCCCCCCTTTAAAAACAAGTAAAAGGCTTGTGTACTTTAGAGAAGACCATCCTGCTGAAAGACTGCTGGCTGCAGTGGTTTGGTCTCCGACTTTATTTAGGCCTATTTCCTAAAACTTGCGTTCATGCTGAGCACACAGTCTACTCATTAATAACACAACAAGGAAAGAACAACAAAAGCACAGTTTCAGACACCAGATATGTTAAATGCCCTTATGGGCTTCCCAGTACTTGTAGTCAATCTCAAAGAATTCTGTTTCTGCTAAATACTTTATTTATTTGGCTTGAGGATGGAGGGGATTATACAAGGGAATTACAGACAATGCTTTATTTCTTGGTCTAGAAATAAATCATATTTATAAATTTTGTAAGTTAAATTACAGCTGCTTTCTCCCCTCGTATTCTCATATATTGAGAAAGTTAATACGGTAGCTCATTTCAGCATAACTTTAGTCTTAAATACAGTGAAATTCAAATCAAGTGTCCGAGAAATCTGAAAGTACTGAGGTTGAGGTTTTCAAACAGTTGGGATTTGACACTGTAAACAGTAAAACAACAATGAAAAAAAATGAACCATTATGAATGAGAATCCTTCAAAAATGTACAGGGGATCTCAATTTCTTAACCAAATATACCAAAATAAGTTTCATCTTTTCTTGAAACTCATTAGTTATGCACATTCAATATTGCCTTGCAGCAATATTAAAATTAAAATGCAGCAATAATACCCCTGAGTGAATAAATGAACCCCCATTATTGTAATATGGTGGGGGGCTTCCGGAAGTACCCGCATCAGGCAGCAGAGCACAGAGCTCAAGGGCCCAGATGCCAAAGCAGCGCTGCTTAGTTCTAAATCCTGGCTCTGTCCCTGACTAGCTGTGGGGCCTACGCACAGCACTTAACCTCTCTGTGCTTCAATTTCCTGATGCGTAAAATGGGTCTAACTCCACTCCTTACTTCACGGGGTTCTTAAGAGATACAATGAGTTTGTAAAGTAAAAATAAAAAGATTTGTAAAGTCAGGAGAATAGATTCTGGCACAGAGTAAATGCCAGTAGAAGCATTTAGGAAACAACTAAGCAGGTAAATAAATAGACCCGCTTTTGCTTCCCAAATGACCATAAATTTTTGCTTTTCGAGTCATCTATACGATTTTTTCCAGTCTCTTTCTTTCTCCGTTTTTGTCAGGGTCTCGGTAGACCTGGGACTAAGAGCCCTTCTCTCCTATTTATTTTCAAGTTTTTTCCCTTTTTTTTTTTTTTTACAAATATTATTTATTTATTTTTAGTGTGGTAAGGTTGACACGTGATGTTACGTTAGTTTCAAGTATACAACATAGTGACTCCAACAAGTTTATCCCTTCTGCTATGCTCAGCATGAGTGGAGCTAAGGATACTGTGTCTTGATGGTTAGGAGCCTGGGCTAGAGAGCCCTGCGCCAGGGCACGTGGCCTCAGTGCACTAGTCCCCACAAGAGATAGTATTAGGATGTATAAAGTTGTTGTAAGAAATGAAGATATGGTATATGCTAACAGTAATGCCTAGAACACAATGAGAGCTCGATCAAGGTGAGCTGCTAAATCCTTTCTTTATTTCTGTAGGTTAGAGAGGGCCTGAGACACTCTTCAGTGAAGAAATTATACAAGGTTTCATGAAAGTTTCTCAAGAAATTCAAATCTACTCTTTACAAAGCTTTTTTGTTTGCTTGTTTGGCTTCTTCCTTGGTGTCTGGCTTATATTTTCAATAGATAAAACCAGTGGCATATATGGAGTATATTAGATGGGGTAGGGAGTGATGACAAAATATGCCAGTTGTGAGCAAAACTCCTTGCACCACGGGGCTACGGACACTGGCCTTGCATAACAGCATCGCTCGGATTGTTTCGGCCCATTTTAAAGAAGAATTCTGAGAGGCTACTGTGAACATGAGCTTCCCCCTGAGCCTTGATGTTTTGGAAGCACTTGCCTTTAAATGTGTTATTCAACCTTTATTTGCACTTAGTTTCACATCCTTTGATCTCTTGTGATGATGTGGTTTTAATGTCAGAAAGACTCATGGCCTTCAGAGAATCCAAGAATTTAAGAGCCGGGAGGCATTAAAGGTCACCTCTAACTCCTCATCTTGTAGGTAAGACACTGAGGCCCAAAGAGGAAGCTGCTATTCCAAGGTCACACAGCTGGTCAGTGGCAAAGTGAGGACCCGAACTGTGGTTTCTTCATGTTGCCTTTTCTCAGAGCCACAAAAGCTTTGGCTGACATGGTGGCCAGCCTGGGGCACAGATGCTGCTGATACGGACTCCAGGAACATCCAAACGTTCCCTTTTGGGGCAGATTCACTCCCTCTCTTACACTGCTTGTGTTTTAGGTTAGCTTTGTGTTTCAGTAGAGTGCTACATACCATGAAATAAAAGGAAAGTGAAGAGTTAACCCAAACAGATGCCCTGTGTTACAATGAAAGCCATTTGGGGAGGTGGTTTAGGACCAACATGAATATTCCTCATTAAAACTTAGGTAGCACTGCATTTAAAGAGTTCTGCTCAAGGGAGACTATGGGAATCTACCCAACTGAGGCACACATTGGTTAACCCACTTTATTGTCTTACTTTACCAAGCTAGGCACTAATTGACAAATTAAATACAATAACTCAAATTTTTTGAGATTCTCGGGAAACAATGATCCCCATCCCCATTTTAAAGAAAGCAAGGTGGCAATGCCCCTTGATGCAATAACATCAGGTAAGGATCAGTCTAAATAAAGTGAAATTTTTGGTACAAATGTTTACATATAATGAAGGCTGATAAAAGAAATAAAAAAGCCACTTTCTACAAATGAATGTAACAAATGTTCATATATATGTGTGTGAGTGCGTGTGTGTACACACTATACATACCTGAATATACCCATTAAATTGATGATAGCGGTTTACACACCAGTTGCCATTGCTTTGAATATGACCAAGTGTACGTTTGGAAACCTTCGAGAGAAGGACCCATTTTGCCATGGTACAAAATTAGAAATAAGGCAAGATAAGGCTGATATTTAAGGAGGGGAGTGTAATATGAGAAATTACAGGATTAGAGCCAATATACCGTGCATTGGCTCTATGAGCTTATACAGTGCACTTAAATAATGAAGTGTAGTATTGAATTAGTTAGTGTGAAAATATGTTAGACATGTAAGTGAGACTAGTAAGACCATTTGTAATTCTATTGGAAGTTTTTGGAGGGAAAGGGTGACACGGCGATTAACTATAAAATCTGACATATTTTAATTTTGAAGAAAGTTAGCATGTGCTCATGGCTGAGTGCGCTCCAGTGGAGGCTGTGGGAAGGTGCAAGTTGACAGCAGGCCAAAGCCACGTTTTAGATTAAGGCCACATTTTCAGCGTGAACAACCAGGGGATCTATCAAATAGAAATGATACTCAATGTCAAATTATGCTGCATAATGATTCAATAAAGGTAGCAGGAAGCATATGCCAGTGTCCTGAATGTGGTGACAAATCAGGAATAGGAAAGACATATAAGACCCAGCCATGAATGTTCAAGGAGAACTGTCAGAAATCAAAAGGAAGGAGAAGAAGATTTTGAGAGGTATGGCAAAAAAAAATCTGAAGTCTCAGGTGTCCATGCATGAATAGGCTTCAACAATTGGCTACTATGAATGAGAGTAGATACTGAAAGGGAGGGAGGGAGGGAGGGGAGGAGGGAGGGAGGGAAGAGACAGACCCAGAGAACCCAGAGGGAATGGCGAGAGAAAAAAATACGAACATGCAGGGAATAACCAAATGTTGTCTAAACTGTTAATACAATTCAGTATATTCTGTCTGTTCCTAATTTGCCTTAAACCCTCTCTGAGAAATCACAGTAGAAAATATACTTCCCTTATATTTATTTTTTATTTAGACACACACATTCTAAACTTTTGTCCATAATTGGTGACATCATAACTACAGGTAACTTCCATAAATTCCTGATGTCATATTGGTTCAAGATAACAGGCATGAAGTCTGATCACGTTTGCGTCTCACTTCTCATGTAATAGTTGTGTTCTGTTTCAGAAGACTGGTTACATCCCTAAAGCACCACTTTTCCCTTTTAGAGGGCTTTAACTTTTTTTTTTTGAAAGCCAGGGTGGCCTCCCTTGCTCAGCCCTCCTGGTTCCCTTCCAACCCTTCCTCCATCCCAAGTTCCACACATCCAAGCCGCCCCCCCCCCCCACTGCTGCCAGTCACCTAGGCAACGCAGCAGCTTGCAGGATGGTGCGGGTCACGAGATCCCAGGGGGAAGAGTTTCAAAGCTTTACATTTGTTCCTTCCATCTCAAAAATGTCTTTGGCTCTGCCCCTTCCTCTCCAGCCATGCTGTTCCCTTCTTCATTCTGGCCAGCCCAATCTCTTCTCTTGCCAGTCCCCATCCTTGTTTACAACTTTCCCCATCCACAACTGAACTCACTCAACCTGAGACTGTCATCAGCACCTCCCGCCACACAACGCCCGCTCCAAGAAATTTGTGGAGACACTGAAGAAGCCAAAAAGGCCATTGCTAATTCCTGATGATTCCATCTCTGCAACATCTCTGATGCCCTCTCTCACCTGAAGAGGTTTCTCATCTGAAAGCTTCTCCCCACCCTCCCCAGCACAGATCCTTAGTACCTTTCACTGCTACTGCCCTAGACAATGTCCAAAGAGTCTCTGGCTTCCGGTGGATGTTAACCTTTCTCCATCTCCCTAATGCCTGTTGTGCACAACTAAAACCCAGGTCTTATCATGCTGTCTGCTGAAACCCTACCACAAGGTTCGACCATCTAATGAAGGAAGTCTGCATTCCTTACCTTTGCACTCTGCACTCTAGCATCTGGCCAGTCAGCCATGATACAAGTTGCACAAATCAACTTCCTTTCCCAGCTGCCATGCTGTTCCTTTTACCCTTCCCTCTCTCTGAAATTCCCCTCCTTCCTGGGCTTTTCTCATGTCCACCTCTGATTCATACTTTGAGGTTTAGTTGAAATGTCACTTTTCCCATAACATTTTCCCTGATTCCTCTATCTGGAAGCATTCTCCTCTGCGGTGGATGTCCACAGTATTTTCTCTGTACCTTCTGGTAAATATCACTTTGTCCCTTGTGTGCTCGTTGTCGTTTTACCTACTGGCCTACCATCTTCTTGAGGGTAGCGTTTATATCTGATTCATCTTTGCATTATTCCAACACTTTTGCATATATACACAGAATAAACAGTGAAGTAGAACGAATGAAATTATTTTTTAAATGCATTTTGTTATGGCCACCAAACTGCCATTTTTGATTCAGATTTGAGGCAGGCAATGGACATGAATGGACAAAATTAAATATGTCCACATCTTCTTTCAAGAAACCCCTAGAAACTGATCTAGAACATTACTGTAATTATCCACCCAGTTGGCGAAACTGGATTTGAGTCAGATAGCGGACTTCAAAGATGTAGGAATCAGAGGTAGCTAAGTACAGGTTAGCTCCCAGCTAATAGAGTGAGCTGTACTCTTTTGGTGTTTTATTTTTAGCAGATGGTAATAAAAAGCATAATAGGAATGACACCGGCGTTGCTGCAAGAAAAATGAAAAAATTTCACAGCATTATCCTGGGACACAGAATGGAATAAAATACACAGTTTTTAACAGCCATAATAAATACAGAAAATAGCAAAGGGACAAGTTAATGATTTTTAAAACTCATCAGAAGAACAAAATCTATGAATTCCACTAGTCAGATGGTGTGTATACTTAGTAAATCTCTCTCTCTCATGCTTGTGAGATTCTAAAAATTATTGATTTTTTGGTTTCTATTACAGAGTGGATATAACATTGGGCACGCTTTTCAATATTTTAGATTATATATGGTGTTGCTTTAATTTTTAGATTCCATTAACTTTCTTGGAACATTTATTTTTAAAATACCTTTAGGGTTTGCCAATTACAAATGAAAAAAGAAAAAAATCCAACTAAGCTTCATGTCCTCTCGGTTTTGTTTTATACCTTCCCATAGAACCTTTTGAGTTCTCTGGCTTTTCAACACGATAAAAGAAAGTTCAACAATTTTCTTAAATATTTTACAACATATGACGAATCTTAAATTCCAGGAAGCAAAATATGAACATTCTAAACTATTAATTTTACCTATGAGGAGTTTTCACTGAAAAGGAATTATAGATGCTCTGAGATTTCCATTCTGGAAAGAAATAGAGTCAAAGTCAGGTTGCTGGGTTTTTCTAGAAACATTGTACTGGGGAACGCTGATGATCTATCATTTTATCAGTACCTGTGGCTGTAATCTTCAGTGCCCAGTTCCAGAATGGGATGTGGTGGTGGAGAAGGCGGGACCTCAGCCTCGGCCCATCCATCACTGGGGAGCAATAGCTCTAAAAAACAAAGAACCAATGAAGCTGTGGTCAATGAGAGGCAGAGCTATTTGGTGCCTGGCTTTCTTTCGGTACATCTCACAGATGCCATTTGCACCAACACCTTAACCAACCTGAAATCAATAAGTCCTCCTACAGAACTGATTCAGGATTTGTATGGGAGCTAAGGCAGCCCTGGGTGAGGAAATCTAAGCCTGCTAATAGGTTTTTACCCTATTAGCAGCAACCCAAGGCAAGTCAAGACCGTGCATCCTGAATATCATTTCCCAGCTACGGAAGGCTGACAGTTGCTCATGACGCGTGTTCTGTGGAAAATTAACAAACCATCTCTTTCATGCCTTAACAGTTTTGTAAACAAGACTCTCTCATGAATACGCTGGGTTATGTGGTGATTTAGGTATTTGCCTTAGTGACAAAAAGTACTTTAAAAAAAAACCCAAAACATGAGATACTTTATACCTACTCACCATTTAGAGATGGTAGAGGGGAAAAAATACTCTTTTTGCATCTGTGCCACAATGGAAATACATGGGTTTGAGGCCTTGGAAGCAAAAGACTAGGGTCAGACCTGGTTTTCTCACCTACTTAAAATGTACACTTTTCCAATCTCTTCTACTCTGGAAGAACTAGACATGTATCCTGAATCTTACTACAACCAATAACAAGCAGGTTTGTTGAGATCTTACCGTGTACCAGACATCGTGCTAAGCATTATGTACCTTATGTCATCTAATGCTCATCCTTATTAACCAGCACTAACGGACTTATGAAAAGCATGAGAGAGCGGCCTGGGGGGAGAGTCAAGTTTGTGCAGCAAGGCCGCCAGGTCCCCAGTCATGGCTCCCACTACTGTGTGAACTTGGCCCAACTATTCAACTTCTCTAAGTGTTAGTTTTTGAAATCTGTAAGGTGGGAATGAGAATAGCTTCATTAGAGAAATATAAGAATTACATAAGATGGTGCACATTCACACAAATTTATAAATGCAAAGTGCTAATAAGCAACTAAAAGATTATTCTATACCTCCTAAACTCTACTGTGTATCTATTACAGTGAGAGATTTGGTAAAAGGTGGACCCTATTTGTGTTGATTGCTGGAACAAGAGAGAAGTGTCCCTACCCCTGTGAAATGTTGCTGGTAAAAGAACCTGCTTGATTTGCCCACGTGCCAGGTGTGATGGTTACTTTTACGGTTAACTTGACTGGGCCCAAAGTACCCAGATAATTAATCATACATTATTCTGGATGTGTCTGGGAGGTTGTTTTTTGGGTGAGCTTAGCATTTAAATCAATAGACAGAGTAAAGTAGATTGTTCCCCCATAATGTGGGTGAACCTCATCCAATCATTTGAAGGCCTGGGTAGGACCAAAATGCTGACCCTCTTCTGAGTAGGAGAGAATTCTTCCTGCCTGACTGTCTTCAAACTGAGACACTGGCTTTTTCCTGCCCTTGGACTTAAACAGAAATACTGACTCTTCCTGGGTCTTGAGTCTGCTGGCTTTCAGGGCAGGACTATACCGTTGGCTCTGCTTGGTCTTTAGCTTTGCTCATTCACCTTGCAGATGTTGGGACTTGCCTGGCTCCATAATCATGCGAGCCAATTCCTTATAATAAGTCTCATTATATCAGTTATTATATTTTCTTACGTATATGTCATATATATTATTATATATTATACATTATATGTTATATGATGTATAATATAATGTCTATTATACATTAAATACATATAAATACAAATACATCCCATTGGTTCCTCTGTGGAGAACCCTGTTCCACGCTCTGCTCCAGGGACTAGTAGGATATGCAGGTAGTTCTAGCAGTGCCCTCATGTCCCTGGGTAGGAGGCTGGATGCGCGAGATCTGATAGGCAGGGTGACCAGGGTGCAGAAGCGTGGTGAGCGAAGGCAGTCAGCACTGTCCCCCTGCACCGCCTCCCACCCAAGTGATCTAGTGAGTTGGTAATACAGTGGCAATCAGGCAGCCAGAGACTTGCTGAAACAGAACAGAAGAATACACTGTAATCTGGAGACAAGGGACATATTGGGACAACATTTTCCACTGGCTCTAATCTCTCTACCCTCAACTTCTTAGCCCATCTTTCACACTGGTGATAAACATGGCCGTGATCATGTATCCTTGGCCTCTCAAAACATTTCAGCTGCACACAACAGCCTGGAGAATAAAGGTCTACGCCCCTGGCAGGCGACGTCAGCTCCTTATCGCACACTAGCTACCCAAGACTACTTACTGTTCCCCAACCACAAGCCTGGGCCTTCTTGCCTCAGCGTGTCTGCTTAGATAACTGCAAAATCCAGTCCCATCCATCAAAGTCCCACCCTTCTCTCAAGATCCACCTCAGTATTTTTATAACAGTGGCAGAGAACACTAGTGCTCACTCTATCTGTGTCCCTCCTTTCTTCCTGCACATACAGACCCCATTTCCCAGCCTTCTTTGTCCCTAGACTTGTTCTTGCCAATAGCAGGTGAGTTGCTCTGGTCATTGACATCCCCAGTATCAGTGGTTACGAAAGGGTACATTCTCTCCACCTGTCCCATCTCCCAGCTGCAAGGAGGAGGGGATGAGGCTCTAGAAAATGGCCCAGCCACCAGTGGAAGGAACCCAGGCCCCTCCATCACTGCAGGGAGCACAGCCCCCATCCTCCTGCTACCATACCTCACTGGGCTCTGGTAAGACAAGAAAAATACTTTCACTGTCTTTATCCCCTGATATTTGGGGTTTATCTATTAATATTATGGAAAATTATTCCATTTGTAACCTTTATCACATGCTGCTATTGCAATGAGCTATCCATCTATCATCTATGTGTCCATACCTGTTTGTCTGACTGGACTATGGAGAAACTCCTCCTAGCCCTCTTTCTCCTCTCCCTCCTCTTCTTCAGCATCTTCACTGGATTCTTCAAGTTTTATTACAATTGTTACCTTTAGATTTTTTTTAGAGAGAGAGAAAGATTGCACTGGGGGGCGGGGGGCAGAGGGAGAAGGAGATAAGCAGACTCCTCGCTGAGCAGGGAGACTGACATGGGGCTCAATTCCAAGGCCCCGAGATCATGACGTGAGCTCAAATCAAGAGTTAGGTGCTTAACCAGCTGAGCCACCCAGGTGCCTATTACCTTTAATTTTTATTTCATCCACATGAACAATCTACATATTTTTAAGTATCTATAGGTACAGAGGCAAATACCTTCTTTGTTGACTCTCTATCCATGGTATATTTTTAAACATGTTCAGATGTTATAAGGAATTTTTCTTTCTCTTGGCCCAAACACCTCTATTAACCCTCTATCAGTGTGAAAATATGGAATTCTTTTCTCCAAAAAATAATATTTCTGGATTTCATCACATGTACAAGGTTAAGTTTTGATGGTCATCCTATATATATGCCTGTGAATGTTGACAGTGCAGCCTCAGGTAACTCCTTCATTCATGACCCAATAACCCTTATTTTAATCTTTTTTTTTTAATTGTTGTTACTTGTTTTACAGATTCTGTCCTGCTAGGGCCAGATCAGAAAAGAAGAGTGAAAGGGAATGCAACTTTAGACAAGGGCTCAGCGGGCTATGGCCCTGGTCCAAAACAAGCCCTCCATCTGGTTTTGTACATAAAGTTTCATTGAGCAGTTATGCTCATTCATTTACTACTGTCCATGGCTGCTTTTGGACTACAGCGGCAGAGCTGAAGAGCTGAGACCGAGATCCCTCGGCCTGCAAAGCCTAACCTATCTGGCCCTTTACAGATAAAGTTTGATGACCCCTTGTTTTTGATTTTTTTTAATTAGAAAAAATTTTAAAGCCTATTCTTTTTTGAAACCCTGATGGTGTGTTCTACACAATGGAGGTATCCAATAAACATCAGGCAAATTGAAAAGTATAATTCAATTTCTGATCACCACTCCAGAGGGAGTGCCTTACGTGCTACAGAGGGGTGGACACATGCTGTTTCCCCAGAGAAGGCACATTAGGAATAATTATACATTATGTGTCTGCCCAAAGGACCCCAGGGAACACGTGAGACCCCAGGATCCAATGAGACAGGACACATAACCGAAGGGTTTTGATTTGCGGTGGGGATGGAAGTCCTCCAGGAGCCCTTCCTGGATGGTGATCCTGAGCAGACTTAGGACAATGGGTGACTCACACATGGGGCTGGAGTGCAGTAGAATTGAAAGGGGAGGGGAAGCAGGAATAGAGCACAAAAAGGGGAGACGAGAGCAATGAAAAGAGAACTAATAACAAACCAGAGGCAAATGGTGCTTATTACTATTACTTACTCATTACTTGGCCACGGGTGAGATCTAGCAGCAAAATTCTTCAGAAAATACAGTGTTGGTATTTCATATTCTTTATTACCATTTAAATGCTTAATAGGATTTTATAACTGAACTGTTGGGACACAGCCCCCGTCCTGACCCCTTACCATTTGGGGCACCACACTCATTCTACTGCAGGCATTGCTAGCAATTCTCCAACACAAACGTGAATTTTCTGGTGTTACAATTTATACAAACGTTAGTTCCAAAAATGCCTTTTCCCTGTAACAGCTTGACAGGAGTATGTGTATATATTTATAAAAAAATAACCGAGGAACTGTGGGTGGTATGTACTATTATTACAAAAAATAGATGGAACCCAGCATATCAACATTGGATTTTTAAATATACAAAGGAAAGGAAAAAGGGAAGAAAAAAGAAGTGAATGTTTTGGCTGTAACAGTTCCTTTCCACACTAGACATTACACTTTGTCAACTCAATCTTGCTTTTCTGAAGGGGCTCCTTAAAAAACTTGGTCGTGTTGAGTCAACAATCAGGTTTCACGAGGCTTACTGGCCTCTTGCTACCTCATGTGCAACTGAAACTCAGAAACTCTCAATGGTTCCCAATATTTTAAATGTTTTTAGTATGACAAAGAGATGATGATCATGATATTCTTCTCCAGCATCATGTTTACAAATTCTATTATATATATTCTTATCTCTAAGTCAATAGGCTTACATAAAAGACAATTTCATCTATGGGTCTCTTACGATTAAAATTTAATTAGTCTATGCCTTGATAGGCCTAATTCTTTAACTGAATATTGTATAACAGATCTACAAGGAAATAACAGCAATAGATTTTTCCTGCTTTAAAGAAAAATAATGTTCAGTGCAGTCCTTCTTGAAAGAACTGGATTTTTTTGTCACCTTGGAAAATTGACATGGGGGGAGGAAGTATAGCAGGAACCTTGTAGGTAGCTGACCTGCACAGTTTTTCACTGGTGTAAAATGTTGTTCTACCTGGAGGTAAGTCTCAAGAGGAAGGGAACAGACAGGCTTCCAGTGGTTGTCTATGGCCACATGTACCCAAAGGACCTAACTGTTCAGTGGAAATACAAACTCCAAACTCAAAACATTCTACTGAAGTTTCAAAGAATTATGACATTTTATTTTTAGCATGTGCTTCGAATGGACTCTAATATTTGAATTTTTTTTTCCGCGTATATCCTTACATTTTAACAAGTTTTATAGTTTCATTATTTTGGCCTTTGTTGTCCCTTCTAGAGATACTGTCCCATTTCCCTATCTTGATGTCCTCTAAAAATACTCCATGTAATTACCACTCCAGTGTCAGTATTTTATAGTTATTAAAAATGAGGGGCATCTGGCTGGTGTAGTTGGTGGAGCATGTGACTCTTGATCTCAGGGTTGTGGGTCTGAGGCCCACGCTGGGTGTAGATATTACTTAAAAAATAAAATCTTTAGAAAAAATGAAACAAGATAGGGGATAACATGCCCACTACTACTTTGGATGTCACTGGTATAATTAGGAATAAAACCTTTAACTTGGATTATCACTGTATCACATGTTGCTTGAGAATTAAACGCCAATCAAATTATGTAAAGCCTAGATATTTTAATACACATGGCAATGTTCTTGATCACTATATGGGCACAGTAGAGAGAAGGCTGTTCTAGTCTGTGGAAAACTTGCTGTTCCTTCCCCAGATTCTCCTCCTACTGTGATTTAAGGTCTCAGAAAGAGATCTTGCTTTGTCAAGACAAATTTTAATTTCTTAAAGAAGATGAGAAAAGACAGAGTATTTTTTTTTATCTGATACAAAGTCAAGTGAGCTTTTAATGACACTCTTGGTATCAGGTGAAAGGACTTCAACAGTTTCAAGAGACCAATGTAAGACAAGGTCTGTGCTGTGGTTTAAGGAGTGAACTTGAATCAGAGAGATAGGGGCTGAATCCAGGCTCTACCCAGATCAAGTATGTGGTCTCGGGTTAATTATTTACTCTCTAGTTCTTCATCTGTAAAATGAGGATAATAGTATTACCCACTTCCAGTGTGCATGTAAATTGCTTAACACAGACTCTAACAGACAGTAAACACTTAATAAATAAATGGCCACAGCTGTTGCTGCTACTCTCACTAAAATGGATGAAATCAGAGGAAAAAAACAGCATCCCATTCTGATGAAACAATTTAATTCTAGAGGAATCTGAGAGGTACAAGCCTGTTCTGATGGAGTTCTCAGAGTTTAGAACTTGTTCCCATGTAAATTTTGGTAACATCTTAAATGTAAATAAGGGACCGATTACATAAATAGTACCTGCATTCAACAGATTACTATGCAACCACTGAATGTGATGCTGGAAAGTATTCAATGACATAGTGAGATGATCCTAATGTGTTATTAATTAAAAGAGCAATTTCCTAAACATTATATATAGTATATTTCATTTTCATTTCATTTTACATATGCATATTTGCATGAATGAAAGACTTGAAATACAGATGTAAAAATGTTATTGATTAGTATCTTTGATAGAAGTATGAGTAATATTAAATTTTCTTTTTACTGCTTTCCCCTAATTTTTCTGTAATGAATATGCATTGCCTTTGCAATACAAAAAACTTAAAGTTGTTTTTAAAAAAAGACATGCAGGGAAATTAAAAAAAACTTTTTTTCTTGGTGACCTAAAGTATGGTTTTTTTAAAAACAAAGGAAAGTCCAAATGTTTTATATCTAGAGCTCTACTAGTACAGGATAATAAGGGAAAGACAATGAGGTAAGGGAATAATAGGAGCATTCCAACTGTTACACAATGGTCTTGGTTCATGGTATTTACCACACTCTTCTTAGAATCTGTGAATCATGTTATGACCATCTTACGGTTTAATACTAGTCCATACATGTTTTTTTAAGTTTAATAGTTATTTACATTTGGTAACTTCCAATAATTAAAAGATTGTTAAAAAAAATAACAGTTTGCCATTTTGTTTCCCCATTCTGCCATTTTGTTTTTGTTTGGCTTGTTTCACACATCATCCTCCGTGTTTGGGGCAGCAAGCATAGAAACTGTCATTTAAACTGGAGGCGATGCCAGGAATCTGCTTCACAACTTCTGAGTCAGCTCTCCCACCCATCATCTCTCCGTGTTCATGACTCAGAGTAACAAAGCCTGCACTTAGTGTAATTAACTTCCCTTAGTCCTTTTTTTTTTTTTTAAGATAGTCTTGTGTTTTCTCATGCCATTTGCAGTAGATGGAAATGGACAGACTCTTACCTTTCTGTTTGTCTTGTGAACTGTAAGTGCCAAATGGATGCAATGAACTATTATCATTTCTCCTGGAGGTGGTTATAGTGTTTTGACAATTCTCAAAGCATGGCTTAGAAAATGCCCCACACTCTGCAGGCTCCTAAGGGATAAAAATAAAAATTACATTTGCTTTTTTAATAGGTTCGGACTTGGTCAATGAAAGCAAAGTAGGAGAATGATCAATTTAGGAATGATCTTCCAAAAGTCTACTGCATATACACTCTCAACTGGAAAATCAAAATGGCCTTATCAGTGAAAACATCTTTGAATATGAAATACAAAAAATACTGACAATGTGGTGCTAAGGATTGGGAGTACTCATAGCCAACACCAAAGAGGATTAACTTTATTACTCTTTCCCCCCACTTACAAATGGCTTCTTTCAAATTTTCTTCCATCTGGGAGTACAGCTTGTGACAGTGTCAACACAAGAATAACGGTCCATGCCAAGGGTATTTGTCTGCCAACCAGCTGGTTCCTCTCTCTCTCTCCCTCAGCGACTAAGTGCATATGCTCTAGGACAAGTCAGAACCTAAGCAGGTTTGCCACTCAAATGCCATGAGTGTGTCCCACTGCAGACACTGGGTCTGCTGCCCAGAAGCTAAAACAAACTCTGTGACAATACCAGACAGTGGTCCTCCTGAGCTTTTGCCCACTTTTTGGTATTTTCCCCTCCTATTTGGATGTTGACAGCCTGCAGACAAATTCATAGTGTCTTCAAGATGGCTGTATCCAGAGTAACAGGCCCACAAAGCATGTTGCACGGGTGTGAAGAGGTAGCGGCGGGGGGCCAGTTTCGGAGGGCTCCAGCTGTTTGTTCAAGAGGACTGAGGCACACAGAACTGGGGGCTGCTCTTGCTTAGACTGTGTGTCCTTCTAACAGATTTCAAGGAAGTCATGTGGACGCCATCTCACCGTTGTGCCCTTGACCATTTGTTTTTGTTTTGTTTGTTTTTTTTTAAAGATTTATTTATTTGTTTGACAGAGAGAGAGAGAGCACAAGCAGGGGAAGTGGCGGGCAGAGGCAGAGGGAGAAGCAGGCTCCCCGCTGAGCAGGGAGCCCCATGTGGGACTCGATCCCAGGACCCTGAGATCATGACCTGAGCCGAAGGCAGCCACACAACCGACTGAGCCACCCAGGTGTCCCCCCTTGACCATCTGTGAGAGGAACAGGCCGCATACAGAACACAGATCTGATCCCCAAAGCTCTTTACTTCGGAGCAAAGCATTTGGCCCAAACAATTTTATTATACTTTCCTCTCAGTTCCACAAGCTTGATATCCTGCTAAACAAAATATTTAAAACATTCAATTTATGCATTCTTAATAATTAAAATATTTTCAGCTGCTGAAGTTGCTAGCTTCTTGTCGAGGCTTATAACACTTTTCCCACACCCAGTGTTACCCTCTGCCTCTGTACTGCTAGTCAAACCAGACTCAGCAAACTACTCCCAAATTAAAGCCGGAGCCCTGGCAGGCAGGAGAGGTAGGACTGACTGCACATAGCCTTGTGCTTTAACAACAACGACAAGAACCAAAAAAAAAAAATTCCGCTTTCCCAGCTCTTTGATAAATGACACAATCGATATCCCAACAACTGATCAGTAACCAGCCTAATTAAAGTATTCAGCCTGTAAAATAGGGCTGTCGTGGAGCCCTCCATTAGTGTCCCAGCCAATAAAAAACATAATGGATTTTTAAACATATTCTGCTTCTACCAAGATGAGCTTGTAGCGGGGAGGGAAATGTTTTGGGGAAGGGGAAAAAAACAGGTCATAACCCATTTTTTAATACTAAGTCTCTGGGCTCAAATAGAATTACAGTTGAACCTCAAGCTCATCCTTTGAAAAACATGGTTCTGTTTAAAATGATTTTGATTCCATCAAGGACTCATTACGTATTCTTCACGAGTTCCTCATCAAAACTGTTTATGTATCTTGAACATCTGGGTAATGTGGGAAAATACTCCAACAACTATATATTTTGACTTTTCTTAAGTAGCTTCTTCAATTTTTTTTTATATCAATATAATGTTCAAGTAACCATTTTGGTATTCTTGCCAAATCTAACTAATTGATTTGCCTGAATGTATGAGCAGTGCTGAGACCTTTTTCTCGGTGATGCTGCTTTTTTATTGTACCTGAGGGTGATTGCTGCACCACAGAAGACACCAAAAGCATGAGTGCACAACATATGATTTGACACAGTAAAACACAGAACCGGGAGATCATATAGCTCCAGACATTTTGTTTTTGTTTTTGTTTTTCCCAATTTAGTAAAGATTAGTTGTACATTAGAGGCTGCTGTCTTCATAAGACAAAAACGCTCTTTAATCTTTGTGGGTACCACAGAGATTCCCAATAGCTGAGAGCATCAAGTGCCTGCTCATTCCCCATGGAAAGCATGTAAATATTAGGGAAACTAAAAAGGGACCTTGTTTAAATGTCCTCATCAAAATTGCTTTTTGTCCCATTTCTTAATTCCCAATTAATTTCCTAGTGAACTATATTAATAAAACACTTCTGAGGATGCGCAACAAACCGAAAGTTTAGTACTTTCTTCTGATGGAATAACTGTCAACCCACCTCAGAGTTGGAGAGTGGAAATATGTGCAATGAAGAAGAATGTAAGTGATAAAACGTCTCAACTAGATGAGCCCAAATACAGAATGTTTACCCACCAGGCACGCGCCTGTTTTAGAGAAAGACATGAAATTAGGAAAGGGGAGGGGTAGCAGACATAAAATGCCTAACAACCATGTTCATTTTTTCTTTCTTTCTTTTCTTTATTCCTTAACTTTTGCTATTTGCACAGGTGTGGTACTCTACAGCAGTGCCTTCCAGACTTTTCTCTTAGTTGAAATATCTTTGTTCCAAGAAATCTGAAGGGAGACATAATACACAGATGCGCAGAGGGGTGGCTTAGGGGCCCACGGGCCATCCTTCACACCTACCCCAGCCAACTGGGTACCATGAATCCCAAGGCTCTAGAGTAAGAGTCAAATTAAACCAGAAAGGAGCCAATTCCATCATGGATGGAAGCAATAGATAAGGGTTTTATAACTATGTACATAAGTAAAATCCATTAAATATTCATGGAAGCCTCTCTGTCACTTAAGCAGACACAAATGTTGAAAACGAGTTGGCTCATTATATATAGTCTCCAGTAATTGGCCAATTTACATTTATTTAACATTTACAAGGTTATGTACAGAAGAGTAAAAAGGTACAGTTACTCTCTTCCAATAGCTGATAATATAACGAAGTGAGATATAGTTTATAAGTTTACTACTTCAGCTGACCCTCTCAGATAAAGTAGGTCTCAGATGCATCTTTTATTCATTCATTTGACAGTATTTATTAAGTGTCTACTGTGTGCTGGGAAATGAGGATACATTAAGGGATAAAACAGACTATAGTATCTGTCATCTGCAAGTACTGAGCACTCAGCTATGTCTTCCCATAGCCAGAAAATGGACAATCTGGGATTTTTACTCAGGTAATCCAAAACTTTAGAGCCTAAGCTTTTAACTACTATGAGTTTCAACTACCTTCTACTATTGTTTAATTTGAAAAATCCTCTCTTTTTTTATTTTTAAGTTGAACATATTATTAAAACTAATATTTTATGTTAGTGTGTTATTAACAGTATTCTATGTTAACTGCCTTTTACTGTATTACACAAACATTACTTGTCCTCAGAGAGTATTTGTGTAATGTGCTCATGTTTTTCTTAACTCTTAACTATGATCAACTGTTTTCTTATCTTTTCTTAAAATATTTTTAGGAGCATTTAATAATGATTTTTCATATATAAGAGAAAATAATGTTTTAGGAATATTTTATATTTATTATAAATATATTAATATACTTGTATAATTTAATAATATAATTGTGTAATATAAATATAGTATAGTTGTATGTAAGTGAAATGTTTAGGGATATCAGCATTCAAGAATATTTTATGCTTACACTTCATGGGTAGGCAGAAATATTTCTTACGTTAAAAAAAAAATCCCTAAAAAATCATGATAAAATACTGTAAAAATACTTATTTAATTAAAAAACATTTATTTAATAACATGAAGCAAGCAGCTTGCTTAACAGACCAAATTTTAAATTAGTTAACTTCCAGGTCTGTATTAGCCATGTGCACATTTTGGGGGAAAATGTACTGCATTATAATAATCTTCACATTAAGCACTGTATGCATCTGATTAAGAACTTTCTAAAGTATGGACACTATACACACCTCAATCAAAAAGTATATAAGGATGCTACATAGTTTAATAGTTTATTATATGAATGAAGTCCAAAGCTCTAGAAATTTCTGAGGGGAAAAAACTGGAAAATATGGACCCGTTATATCTGAAAAATTACCTACTTTATATGCACATTCTTAACACCTTCCTTTATACCTATAATATACAACCATGTGTTTGCCGCATAAATCCATCAGAGCCCTTCTGGGGCATATTTTTCCAAAATTTCAGAATCAGTATGATACTAAGTGACAGAAATCTGCATATTCTAGACGGCCATTTGGCAATTTGCTGAGGGAATTAAAGATATGCATCACCTCCAGTGGTCTCTCTGGTCTCCGCAGAATTACCAACTGGATCATCCCTCGAATATTTCCTTCCATGGACATTGATCGCCTCAGTGTCTCCATAGCTTCATGGTTGGACTTTCCCAAAAGAGATTCCCCATTAACGGCAATCAGCTGGTCATTCATCCGCAGACGACCATCCTAAGGCAGAGGGAAGAAAAACAGTATTAAATAGAGAAAAGTATGATGATGATGGATGGCTATTTTGGAAAAAGTTCAAGTTTAAAAAGAAAAAAAAAACAACAACCCAGCCATTAGGAATGATTTATTTTCTATGGCAGAACAAGGTTCTGGAGCTTATCAAATAGTCACAAATACTAACAATAATGAACTGTGTGAAAGTATGTTTTTGAAATCTCAGAGTCCCAAGCTGCAATAATTTAGACATTTGTATAATATCTCTTACCTAAATCTTTGGCAAACATGCTAACCTAGCCCGATTCTGTCATTTTCTCTGGCAGGGACCATACTGGCTCATGGAAAGGGGGTTTGGAAACAAAAGGAAGTGGTCACATCACTTGAAACAAGGGCTTGCATTTGCAGGCACAGAGAGACATTATGCTTAAATGTTGCATGTTTGACAGTGGTAATGTGTCTCCTAGATCTTACCGCTAGCTCTGTTGAACTGTGCTGAAAAAAAAAAAACAAAACAAAAACCATCTCATGTAATTTTCTCTAATACAACCAAAAAGTTGCTAGTCTGCTAGTCTGCAAAAGAACACAGAGGTGTGCAATGAGGGACCAATTTGCTATGATGTCTTCTGGCAGAAAAAGTGTGACAAAGGAGACTGTCAGGCATTTTTTGCAAGGAGGCTCTGACCGATGAGTACTTTTAACCAGAATCTTCGGAAGCCACATGCTACAAAGTGCACAGAAGCTCAACATGTGGATCGGCAGCCTGGACTCCAGTCTGAATCACTTCTAGACACTAGTCATCTTCAGCCAGAAGCATCACACAAGCTAGAGACTGGGGTGCCATCTCTGCCAACAAAAGAACTTGGGGGGGACCATAGTGCCTCTCCCCCACAGGCAGCCTTGAGGGAAAAATCTTCAAAATACTGACAGTCAGATTAGGGACATGCCTTAGACCTGTTTTCACACTAGGGTAGAAAGTTCTCACTATGAGGTACAGGTGCAGTTTTAGGAATGTTATGATGTAGGGGCGCCAGGGGGGCTCAGTGGTTAAGTGTCTGCCTTAGGCTCGGGTCATGATCCCAGGGCTGGAATCGAGCCCCGCATCGGGCTCCCTGCTCCTCGGGGAGCCTGCTTCTTTCTCCCTCTCTCTCTGCCCCTGCCTCCGCTCGTGCTCTCTCTCTCTCTCAAATACATAAATAAAACCTTTAAAAAAAAAAAAGGAATGTTATGATGACACTGCAGCTAATAAACTTAACCAAAATGCCAGGAGGTTTGTATGACAAGTTACCTTCCTAGAGAATTCCTCCATAAATTATCTCTAGTGATTCTCACAGAACTCAAGAACTAGAACAATGCTTTTATTCACATTACAGATAAGGAAACTGAGGCAGGGAAGGGCTGCAACTTGCCCAGGTCACAAAAGCAAACCAGAGACACAATGACCCCAGTTCTGATATAATGCACTTTGGCTCTTCAGTCTCCCTACTAGAATTCTCTTTATTATTTGGTCTCTAGACTACAGTTGTACAACTCTAAAATAGGAAAGGAAAATACTGGAGAGTTTTTACAGGAGTAAGTATCTGGAATCCATGTTCAAGTTAAGAGAATAAAATACAAAAGATTAAAACTTCCCTAAGAAATGAGAAAACCAGGCATACAATGAACAATAGGACCAACTGTGCAGCTTTGGGAGAGAAATCCTGCAGACAAGTTGATAAACTTTGACTAATTCAGTAGCAGATGGTCAGAGGAAGTTCTTCCACCGACAGCAGGGGAAAGGGTGAGTGGTGAAAGCTGCTCTGGAGAGCTAATGCTGTGATGGAGACGCACTGCACGTGCCACCTGCTGGTGAGGGCGCTGGGCGCGCCGGCTCGCAGAGGCTGCCCAAAGGACCATATGCTCCTGAATGAAGAAAGTGGGATGTCAAGGCGACGAGATCGATCCAGAAGGGCATTCGATCAGAGCTGGAAAATGTCTGAGTGGACTGCCTCCACAGAGCATGATGTCTCCTCCCTTCCTCTTGTTTTCCCACTCCACTTAACCTTTACCCTAATTTGGAGCAAATGTGGAAATGAGATTTACAGGAAAGGCCAAACAAGAAAGAAATCTCTCCATTTCTATGATCTAATTTTGAGTGGGGCACAGAAAGACTGAGGTTAAGGTTACACAAAACAGGGTAAAACAAAAACAACCTTAATGGTTGAGTCATGTGAAGTGAGACACAACTCGAGAAATCATTCTGGTTTATTTTGGCCTTTAGTGGAAGGAGGACTAATGGGTTGAGTCTTGAGAAGGAGGCTGGGAGGGTCACTAAAAATCGGATGTAAGATTTTTAAAGAGGAGGAGGAAGCAGAAGACTTGGATCAAGATCCTCGCCCTGTTAACAGGAAATGAGGTCTAGCATTGGATTTGCAGCAGCTTAGTCTTGGCAGAACACCTCTTCCTCTATGATATGAAGAAAGATAAAGATTGAAACTTTATGGGTATCTCTAGGACGGAGGAAATAAAATCTGAGTGAGATTCCACCTGGTAACCTCATGTGAACCTTCTCTGTGAAGTATGGTGCAAGGTCTATGTGAAGAGGTAAATAAGAGATAAGGAGATATAAGGACTTTTTTTTTGATAAAATAATCTCTTACCAACAGGTACTAAGCACAAACTTTCATTTTTAGCTACATTCCAAGTCTCAAGCACACAGACCACTACATTGAAGTAGAACATGTTTGCTGTATCCAAGTCCCAAACAAAAAGGCAGATCAGGTCACCCTGGGGCAGCTGGTATTTTTTTTTTGGAAGAAATACACATTTATCACAAGCATCACTGGAGAGCTGCGGGCATGATAAAAATCCACACACTCTCATTTTCAGGCTTGGCTGGTCTGTTGCTCTTGGTGTGTGCTTTCTCTGTATAAGATAAATGATGGGTAATTTCATTAATGGTGATGCCAGTAAGTGCCATGTTGTCCTAACATTTAGAATATAATCACAGAACTTAGAGCTTGATAGGTCCTTTGAGATCATCTTGTCCAACCTCTTCTGTACAGATAAATAATGTGATGCTCAAAGAGGATGCAAAGCCATTTATTGAACTCATCTTAAGAGAAGGCACTTCCCCATGGGCTGGGACTTGCTCAGCTAGTTAGGGTCAGAGCTAGATCAGAAGAGCCCAAGTCCTGGCTTCTTAGCATTCTCCATTCCTAACCATTCTCTCTGCTACATAGATGATGGTGACTAGTTCCTAAAGAAGTAATGCTTCAAGAAAAAAATATTCAAAACCGGAGAGGACAATATGTCACCAGATGTCTCCTGGAAGAGAGCCTGATACAAAATCCAGAGTCAGATGGCAGAAGATATGGTGACTGGTGCCTGTGCTGGGGGATGGCAGGACAACTGTCTTCTTCTGCAGAAGCAGGAGACAATTTGTTCACCTCTCTAGCCATAAGGAGATAAATGCATACCCATGTCTGGGCTTGATCAAAAATGAAAGTGATTCAATGGGAAGTTCATTAAATATCTCTAACTCAGACTCATTAAATATCCTTCACAATTGTATATGCCCAGTGTGTATGCTTTGGGATAATTTTGACCAAGAAAAGCACTTTTTTATGGTTTTATCTTTTTCTTTTAATACTATGTTTAAGTGCGTACTTAGACATGAGAATGCTAACTCTCATCAACTGATTTTATAGAAGAGATTTCAACTATCTGGGGATATAACTCAGTAATTTTAGAATATTTATTTCATTGTAATTTGGGTCATGCTTGTGTCTGTTAAAGAAAAAAAATCCTGTTCTGCTACAGACTGAATGCTTGTGTCCCTCCTCCCCCACCCCTCTTCCAAATACATATGTTTCAAATATGTGAGGTTATTAGGAGGGAACCTTCATAAATGGGATTAGTGCCCATATAAAACAGGCCTGAGAGAGATTCCTCACCCCCTCTGCCATGTGAAGGTACAGCAGGCAGATGGCTATCTATTAATCTGAAATGGGCCCTCACCAGACACTGAATCTGCTGGTGCCTTGATGTTAGGACTTCAGCCTCCACAACTAGGAAAAATAAACTTGTTTTCTATAAACCACCCCATCTATGGCAGTCTGCTAAAGCAGCCCAAACAGACTAAGACACTTTCCTTCCTATTTTACTGCCATCAGACCCCTAACTAACAAGACTCCTCAACTCTGGCAACTATACTTTTCATCTCTGGTCAATCCCATAACAAACTCTATCCATCCTCAAGCAGGAGGGAGTAAAGGAAGTTCCCCAAAGGAGAAGGAGAACAGAGTAAAGATAAAAAGTAACTTCCTTAGGACACCTGAGGACAAATAAAAACTGGTACAAGATTTAGGTCTTCTCCATGTCCTGGGATTGCTTCAAATCTCATCAGCCCTAACCCAGTTCTAATGCAATAGGATGAATGGCCCAGGAGACAAGATGTTTGAGTATTACCGTCTCCCTTTTACTGAGCACCTAACATAGGCCAGTCTTTATGCAAATGTTTTGTATATGCTCTCTCATTTTTTTCTCATGACAATCCTGTGAGAGATTTGCTACTCTCCACTATTTAAGAGATGTAGAAATGGAGATTCAAAGAGATAAAGTGATTTGTCAAAGGTTATTGGCATGGCTAGGTGTCCCTGTCTCTGAGTCAGACATGTACCTGTTATGCTAAGATCAGAGTTCTAGAGATGATTAAAGACACTACAATTATTAATGACAATAATTATTTAATGAGTTTCTTCTCTGGGTAGTCATTGTGCTAAGCCCATTATGTGCACTAGACGATTTAATCTTTACAGCAATCCTATACATTGGGGACTGTTGCCCTCATTTTATAAAAAAGAAACCAAGAATTAGGTCAGTTAAATGCATTGTTACAAGTCACAATTCTAAAGCAGATTTGAACTAGGACTGGGTCACTCTGAAGGCCATGTTTCCAACTATTTTGCTAGTGATTCTTGACTTTTATGGACTCTTAGATTCCTTTGAGAATCTAATAAAGGCTA